GTAAGGAAAAATTTATCTTTCCAGGATTCTACATGCCTCCAACACCCCCCTCCTGCTCAAGCAGTGATAGTGAATGTGGCGGACAGTCCCCTCCTCGCACACCTCCTCTGTATGAGACTCTCACCCCACAGTTTGCAAATCCTCGCAAAGGAACAGCACGCATTCTTGTCTCTTCAAGAAATCCTATTAACACTCCACTTATCTCATCACAGCCGGTAAGGAGTACGGAATTATTTTTGTGTAATCTGTTTTTTTTCCTGGCTTTGATTTACTGCAACTCAAATTCCCTAACAGAGAAAAGATTATTTTGTTAACCATACTGCAGACTAATTCTATATAGCATCAAGTTATTATGTATTTTACAAAGTGTATGTATTTGAAAGTAGTACTGCATATGGTAACATGATTCATTAGAGTTTAATTAAGGTATATATTCAGCAACAAGCATTTACAAACCACTAAAGTAACTACAGACAATACACCAGTAAGGTGATTAAAATGGAGAAATGGACAAACTTTCAGCTCTTAAACCTTCAATATCCCCTCACAGAAAGGAGCAACAGGAGTCATCAATCTCACAGAGGAAGAAAAGAGGACTTTGCTGTCTGAGGGCTACAGCGTCCCCAGCAGACTCCCACTCACCAAAAGTGAAGAAAAGTCACTCAAGAAAATCAGAAGAAAAATCAAGAATAAGGTTAGTGCCATTTTTTTTCTTTTCTAATGACAAGGTAATAGATATCCAGAAATTTATATGGTTGTTGATATATATATATATATATATATACTATATATATATATTATATATATATATATATATATATATATATATATATATATATAATATATATATATATATATATATATATATATATATATATATATATATATATATATATGTATATATATATATATATGTTTTCATTTATTTCCTTTCTAAATAACCATGGTTTTCTCTCCTCCTTAACAGATCTCAGCCCAGGAGTCCCGTCGCAAGAAGAAGGAATACATGGACGCCCTGGAGAGAAAAGTGGAGAAACTGAGTAGTGAGAACATGGAGAGCAAGCGGCGCATTGAGATACTGCAAGCATCCAATTCCCAGCTGATGTTAGAAGTCCAGCGCTTGCAGAGCATGGTAGAAATCGATGAGAAGACTAGGATCAGATCAACGCCTTTAGCAACGTTGCTCTCGTAAAGAAGTTGGTAGGTTGATGGAGATAAGATTTTTGTTAGAGAAATATATAAATTACTTTCATGAAAATATGATTTGAGAAATAAATAAATGAGTAATATGAATAAATTGAACAAGTGCTGGGAGTGACATCAGAGGAAACAAATTGATAAAAAAAAATTAAATAAATGTGAATTTTTTTCTTATGTGTTTTTTTTTGCTTTATTTTTGATATGATTTTATATGCCTTTAGTTGTTTTTAACAAATAACTTTTTTGTTGCAGGTACGAGCCATCAATATTCAAACCCAGAGAAGTATATCTCTACAGGAGATGAATGAAAAATCTCACCATTCCTTTCATATAAGTGCCTTTCACCTTGTATGGAATTAAGTGGCATTATTTTTATACCTGATGTATGGTTGAGGAAGGAATTATCAACCAGGGTACATTCCACGACAAAAACAAACAAACAAACAAAACAGAGAAAGAGAGTTGCTTTTATTTTGTAATCATAAATTATGCCAGACCTGTTACATTATTTTTAAAAAATGAAAAAAAAATATAGAGAAAAACTCATGGAAGTGTATATTTTGTATATAGATGTTTTAAGATTTAGGCTATAGACAATCGCGACAAGGTTGAATTTTATATTGTTGATGATTTTTAAAAAGTTTAGTATTGAATGATGAGTGTTCATTGTACAGAGGTGATTTTATTACAAGACATTACAGTGTTGTAATGCATAGTGAATGCCAAGATGATTTTCTTTACATATTCACATACTACTGGTTTCTGATGGTGGGAGATGTTTTTTTTTAATTTTATTAATTTGATTATATTTAATATTCCTTTACTTTTATAATAATTCAACTTTGACATTGACCATAATTTAGTTGATATTGCTGACAGATCATGTAAACTAATGATGACTATTTTTTTATTAACTATTAAAGGTGGGTTAGTGCAATAATGCAAGGCAGTAATAAGTTTTTACTTTTATTTTATTATAATTACAATGATTTTGATAGAGGGAAAACCATTCACTTACTCTTGCTAAGGATTTCCATAAAAATAATGATAGCCTACATGAAATTTTGCTAAAGGTTATTGATAGGACATGCACAAGATAATTATATAATACCTAATGACGCTTAAAGCGTTGAGAGGAATACATACGTAACTTTTCAACATTAAACAATTAGCATTTTAAAAGTATGATAATAGGGGACCATAACAAGTTGAAATCTAGTGAGTATTTTAAAATAATGTTCATGCAAATGTTTCTAGGTGATAACTGAAAATTTCTAACATTTTTTCTCCAACTGGATTG